ACGCCAAGATATCCTCAAGGCAATAAGCAAGCCAAAGTATCCACCAAGATGACCTTCGACTGCCACAAGAAATCCCCCACCAGTAAGAAAAGAAAATGGCCAGACGAACTCCCTGGATGTCTATGGGCATATCGCACCACCAAAAGATGAGTAACCGAAAAGAGATGGCCACAAGCTTAAATCTGGAAAATGAGAAGTACGAGCAGACAATCACCCGCATTGCAGCTTACCAGCAGTAGTTCCTTTCCAGCTACAACAAAAGGGCCAAGATCCGGCAGTTCTAGCCCAAAGATCTAGTCTTAAGAAAAGCCTTCATCATTGCCCACAAAGAAGGCTCCAAAAAGATGGATCTCATCTGAGAAGGTCCATACAAGATCAGCAGAATAGGCGGCAAGAGTAATTACACCCTCGCCACCATGAAACGATAAAAAGATCGAAAAGTGGTGGAGCGCCTACAATCTGAAGAAGTACCATGCGTGACCTCCCACTACATTAAAGCCCGAAGACTCAAAAAGCTCGATGGGCACCACCTCACAAGTCGAGGACTATCCAGTTGTTATGCAGTTTCTACCTTACAACTAAGTTCTTGTTCGTTTCACTCGTTTTTCAATGAGGAATTCAGAATTAATCACAACTTGGCTCGGCTGCATGCTTACAACAACTGATCACTCCGGCACTTCAAAAGAAGACTGCGCCCTTCTTAAGGACCCATAGCAGGAATTGCGCCCCCCGAGGGACCAACCATGCTCTCCAGTGCAAGAGGGTAAACTAATTGCTCTCCAGTACGAGAAGGTAAACTAATTGCTCTCCAATACGAGAAGGTAAACTAGTTGCTCTCCAGTGCGAGAGGGTAAACCAATTCCCCGACACCCATATGGGTCAGCTCTCCAAGACGAGAGGATAAACTTTACACTCCGAATATCCAGACGTGGATGAGCCTGGCTGCCCTAGTATAACTAGATGCACGATGGCTTGCGCCGGGATTCCTAAAATTAGCCACAATGGTCTTTTTCAAGGCTTAGCTAACTGAAGGATTTTGGGTCTCTTGGCCTAATCCACAGGGAACCGGGCCCTAGAGACGGATGGGGCACATTACGCAGTACGCCCTATAGACGACTGCCCTGGAACCCTAAAGCTGCTACCGAGTGCACTAAGGTAGCCTACGGATTCCGGAAAACTGCCTACGGCTTGCCTTTTTAGCAGTAAAGCCACGCTAGACTTATACAACCGCACATTCTTGTGAAAGGTTAAACAAGCTAGCGCACATATACGAAGTTTTATCCACTGCCGACATGCTACGTAGTCGATAAGCTTCATCTCTACCAAGCGTTGAACAACTTACACCAAGTCTTAAAGTGTTTTGATACTTGCTACACAACCTACGGAATTGAAGAAAGTCAAGTTAACAGCCTAGTGGTTACGTGGACTTATCTGCTTCTATAAGTAAGGCATTCGGCTGCCAACCCTATGACTAACAACTTTGCAAAGTTCTACACCAACACCTACGGCTGCATAGGCTACGTGGGCTTGTTTGCTTATAAAAAAGTAGCATGCATGCCACTGGTCTATCAAGTCTAAAGGTTAGGTCATGAACAAAAGAAGCGAAGATGAAGAAAAGTGAAGGAAAACATGTTTATGAACAACTAGCAAATGCCAAAAGAGTTCAAGCAAAACGAGAGCTACAAGAAAAAACATAAAATCCTAAAGGCTACCTAGAAGACTATAGCAGCTTGGACATCCCACAACTACTCGGTCGCCACACCTTCAGCAGCCGCGACGCTCTTAGCAGCAGTATCATCCGGCACTTCACCCTCGGCTGCCCCAGCCTGGGCACTAACTTCTCCAACTACTTCACCAATAGAAGCCTCAAAAGTAAAAGCAAGCAAGTTTTCGGAGAAATAGAGAAGGTCTCAAAACCCCGAGCCCAGCCTTTTCACCTTTCAGCTACTCATCCTCCTTGAGTAGACCAATATGGATGCTCTGCAGCTCATCCACTTCCTTCTTCAAACTTTCGTTGATCTTCAGTACACCTTGAAGTTTCAACACTTGGGGTTTAAGCTTATCGACGATTCTCTTGAAGTGGATCACTTGATTATAAGCAGCAATCAACTTTTCATCCTTTGCATAAGCAGCGAAATGAAGCTCAGAAACTGCATACTCAAGATCTTGAATTTGAGGTATGTAACATCCAATCTCCTTCTCTGCACTTTCATGCTTAACTTGGATCGCGTCAAGCCTAGTCTTCAAGTCAACGATCTTTTGGTGAACGGTCTCAAGCTGCAAAGAAGTAGGGGTAGAAATATTATACCCCTTCAAAGCAACGAGCTCAAAATCTGCCATAGTATTTTCCGTCTCCTTAGCAGCCTTGCTATATCTGCATCATAGCAAGTAGAGCAGTCCTTCTATATTGGGTCGTATGCTTCGCAAACGAGCTTGGGTAAACACATTTCTGACGCCATCAACAAACTTGTCACAAGCGTCCATGTTTTCAAGAGATCTGGTTTCAAAAGCATATAGATCTCAGTAGCCTCCCCAGAAGCACGCTTAGTGGATTTCTCACAACTGCCTACGTAAGCAATCTCCTCATTCCCAGTAGGCGAATCAGTCTCAGCAGCATAAGGAATGAGCCTTGGCGCCACTTTTCCAGACTTAGCTCCCAACAGACGTCTTGGTACAAAATTCGGCACTAGGGGCATGACAGGACCTTTATGCCGAACAATCCTATCAGCAATCGTACTAGCCATTCTTGACATGACAGGCGCCACATGCTCAGATCTAGCAGCCTCATTTTTCGTCCCCTTGGAAAAAGTCAAGTCAATCACAAGTTTGGAGGCAGTCGGCAAACCCGCGGGAGCGAAAGAAGTCTTTGGTTTTTTCTCAGCTGGCATCTCTTGAGCAGGCAAAGAAGATCCATTTTCCCACCTTCACTTGCAGCAGGATCCACAACAGTGATTGGACGAGCCAATGCATCCGCCTTAATCCTATTTTGGGAGCAGCCCACGATTCTCCTAATGAAGAGAGTTAAAATAGCTAACGCCATTCGTGGTACTTAGCAGATGAGTTCAACCCAACATTCCAGCAGCTCATGAGGCCTGCAACCTCTTCATTTCTCTCAATCACCGGCCTAGCTCGCGTCATGTCCAAAAGCTTAAAAAGACATGAGTCATGTGACTCGCCTAGTATTATGCCCCAACGCCACAATCCGCGGCCCCAGCCACACAAGCTGCCCTTGGTTCTAGCCAAGTCGAGCAGCTTAAAGCAGTGGTCCCTGCCACAATACCTCATCGGCCCATGTCGAGCCGACTCCTGGCCCATGCCAGCCGACGTGCCACACCACTCCGACGGCTGCCCCGCGGTAGCACCATCTAAGAAGAAGACAAGGAAAATTAATTTTTTCTTACCTCAGTGCGGCATGAAGAAGACGAAGAAAGCAATGAAAGACGGTCATTTGCACGGACAAGATGTAGAAGATTGCTAGAGGAGGGGGAGCAAATATCCTCTAAGCTTTCTCTCTCTTGTAGGGTAGATAAATCGCTCTCCAAAGTTTATTTAACAACCCACTTAAGGTGGACTTAAATAGGTTTTGAGAGAAATTTATTTCCCTTTCCTAAAAGGATCTAATTTCACATTAAAGAGGGAATCTACATCAAAATAGGAAGCAGTTCTAAGTTTCTTAGAGCAAGAAGATCTCTACACCTAATGCCCTTTCCTACGAGCAGCCCAGCAGGTGTGGGGGCATTTGTGGAGCCAAAAATAATCACAAGGCGACACATGGATTTTTTAGTAAAAGATGACCAAACTACCCTTGAGGCACACCGGGATTCCTACACGCGAGCAGCTCAAAAATGCTCCAAAAAGGTAACAATTCAATATTCATCTCATCAAATCCCGTAACCTCCAAAATATTTATTCCAAAATTATATTAATTGGTTAATTAATGGATTAATTACCCAATTAATCCATTAAACATCAATTAAAACATCCAAATAACCACAACATATATCCCACTTAATCCCAAAACTAGTGATTGACCGGCCACTCCCTTTCTCCCTAGCTTTTCACACTTTTTTCCATTTTATTACCCTATTTACGCAACTATTCAAATTTGTAACCTCCTATTTATTTCTTTTATACTTAATTAGCCAATAAATTGGCTAATTAAGCCAAAACTATAACCACCAAAACCCATTAGTGGCCGGCCACACCTTGGGAAAATTGGGCAAAGCCTAACCCTATAAATAGGCACCCATTCTCACCAAAAAGCTATTTCAACACTATGGCAAAAATCCCAAAATTTTCTAAACACTATTTCTCTCTAAATTCTAACTTTGGCATCGGAGGTTCTTCGGCCAAAACCCCCCCCCATTCATCGTGGGTGTGTGAGGCTCTTGGCCATAACTTAAGATGTTAGTTGTTTTGTAGGTGCAAAATTGTCCAAAATCAAGGAATAAAAAATTTACATCCACATTCATTACTGAAGTAAACCTGAATTCCTTCGTCAGCGGCCTCCTAAAAAACCTGTCACCGGTTTCCTCTGGCCTATAAAATCTTAGGACGTGCCATAAGTACACATGATTGACTCTACCAGATATGGATGATCTGTTGAAATGGATTGGAAGGGGTGAGTAGCTTTAGTTCAGGCCGCAGTGAAGGGTTATTGCTCCCATTAACATCCAGTGACATGATACCTTCCAGATTCGCAATAACCATATGACGGCTCACATCCGTGTGCTTTTTTTCTTTCTGTTTTTTTTTTTTTTTTTTTTATGTTTTTTTGGCAGTATAGATTATTGATGGCAAAAAAAAAATGTATACCTAATCAGGACGACATAAACCTTATCCCTAAAAAATAAAAAAATAAAAAAATAAAAAAACATGAAAAAGAGAGGAACATAAACTTTAATTTTCTAGAAACGAAAACAAAAAAGATACAAAAAAAAAAAAAAAAAGGGCTTATAATCGTCAAAAACCTAGGTAGACAGCAAAATATAGCAATTTCGTAATCCATGAAACTTCATAACAATTAAAATAAAAGTAATCAGAAGTAGCACACACTTCAGTTGTACAGGAATTAGGCATTACAATATGCAAACCAGAACAATAAGCAAAAGCACACTTCAGCTTGGTTGTCAACAAAAGCTGTCCTCAATATGTTTCACAAACTCATCAAAATCAATTAGTCCATCTCCGTTCGTATCAACGGCCTCGATCATCCTCCGGCATTCGTCCAATCCAAACCCGTCCTCCAAACCCAAAATGTATAAAACTCTTTGTAACTCTGCAGCATCTATAAACCCGTCTTTATTTTCATCAAACACATCAAACGCTTCCTTTACCTCCTCCAAGCTAGGCTCCTCCTCATCGAACAGTCTCGAAAGCTCCTCCTCCGCACCAACCCCGCCTTGAATATCATCTCCTTGTGCATCATAACATGTTAACCCTAGCCTGTCCATCACCGTCTTCACTTCTTCCGTTACTTCTGTTTTATCAGAAGTTGATTTGAGGGTATTGGTGCAAACCCTCTTCGAAGGTGTGGAGAAAAATATTACAAGGGGATGAAACATGTGGTGTAAAGACAAAACTAAGAAATTTAATACCCAAGAAATCAATGCTGAAAAATAAAGGCAGACCAGTTGAGTTGTGTTTGTTGGTATGTCCTTCATGGATAAGTTGACAGAGCAAACCAACACTTAGAGAATGTTATATAGAAAAAAAAAGAGCGACCGGGTTACTTGTACTTGAAGCGTCAACGTCTTTAACTTTCTCAAGGGGTAAAGATGCGGTGCTCTTTTTCGGTCGACCAAATTTTCGTGGAAGATGCACAAGAATTTACTGAAGCTTGTTGGGAACAGAAACAGAAAGTTACCTCCTCCTATTCCCAACGGGCCAATAGGACTACCAGACTATTAACCTTGGGTTAAAACCTAAAGTTTTTAACATTCAGAAAATTTAGGTTTTAACCAAAAACATATTTTCTGCTCAAACTCTTATGGGTTAAACTTTTAGTTTGAAATCATTAAAGAATTAATTTAGAATTCTTAAAGTAACTTTTAAAAAAAAAATTATGTAAACTATCATAATTTAATTTTAGCGAACTTTAACGAAAAGCTCCCGGTACTGTTCATTTTAATGAAAAACTATATTTTTACACAATGGCGGAGCCAAGTTAAGGGCTGCCCTGGGCAGTAGCCCAGGTAGCTTGTGGTGAAAAATAAAATTTTACATGTAATTTTGATTGATTTTCTAATGTAGCCCACCAAATATTTAGTCGCTAATTCGAATTCTCTAGGTTTAACTATATAAAATTATATAATACAGTTTGCAAATCATCTCTTTTTCTTACATTATTTTTCTCATCGCTTCTTGTACATGTACAAATTTGGATTTGTTTAATTTTAACATGTTTTTGGCTCACCTTGTGAATTTTTTTAAGCTAGATGATACTATGAAAAATAGGGTATCAAGTTTCTTTATTTAAAGAGATTTAAAATTTTAAACTAGCCCACCCGGTAAAAAATTCCTAGCTCCGTTATTGTTTTTAACTAAAAAGTCAATTTTGGTACTATTCACTTTGCCATTTATTTTTTCCTTATCGTTAAAACCCAAAGTTTTCAAGTTATTTTCATTAGTTTTCCTTTAATTTTATGAACATTTTAACCTAAAAAAATTTAGATTCTGATAAATATTGAAAAATCACTAAACTGACACCATGAAACTCGCGAAATACTATGAAAGAACATGAAACACATAAAATAATTTTTCTAAATTATTTTAGCCATTGGATTTAAATTTGGACCATTAGATCTTTTTCTTTATCGTTAGATTTGATCATATTAGATCTTAGCCGTTAAATTCAATAAATTTATAAATATAAAACTAAAAAAAAGTACACATATATGGTGGGCCAGCCCGTCTAAATTTGCCCTAAAAATGAGCTTTGGGTTAAAACTCATATTTGGCTCAAGGGTTTGAGCAAGTTGAGATATGTTTAAAATCTAAAATTTGAGTTTTACACTAAGGATTGGAGTAGGTCTAAGAGAGTAAGCTTTCGGATTTATATTTTTATTTAAAAATTATATTGGCATATAGTTAATCTCATTCTCATTCTCATTCTCATTCTCATGTTTTTTTTTTTTACATGTTCATGACTTCTCACATTCTAAATTAAGAGAAATTTAAAACCGCTTCATATTCTAATCAATATGGTTACGTATACGTACATATGCGGGATTTTTGAATTATAGTAAATTTAATTTTCAATTTGTTTGAACCAAACCTACCTTTCTTCAAATATGCAAAACAACAAAAGAAATTAAACAGCCTACAAACTGAACTGAAAGTTCACATCGCCTATGGAAGTTTCCAGCAGGGCCGGTCTAAAATTTTTTGAGGTTTGGGGCGACGTCAAAAAAATGTGCACTCATTTTATATAAGAAAATTATTTGTTTTCATACATAAGACATTGATAAAATTGTACTTAGAAAATCACTTCAAACTTAATAATTTAGAAACACGGAAAAACTATTTCATTTTGTATCGTGAGAAGGAAACAAAAAAACTTCAGGTTTACAAGTAGATAGATATGAGTTTTGTTTTCCATTTGAACTTTTACAGTGTTTTTGTATAAATCATGAGGTGTTTTTTTCTTATATACTAACCTTGTCAATATGGGATTAAAAAGGTAATGATGTTTTTTTTGTCTTTAATTGATATGTATAAGTAATAAATGAGTATTAAATTAAACTTTTTGATGATACGTCATATGATTTGCAAATTTGGTCTAAAAATTTGGTCAACACATTACTCTTTGTTGAAGATTAGACTTGAATTGGAACAAATGTTTATAAATAACAATTCACATAGCTACTAGCTACTAATTAAAAATAAATTAACAACCAAACAAAAATTTGTAAAATTGAAAAGAATAAACATGCACTTAGCATTTTGAACTTAGGACATCTCGTTAATTTTAAACAACAAAAACCATTAATTCTAATTAAACTTCTTGATTATTTAGCCAAATTTTATATATTTATACTCTTATGAAAATAAATTTGTAAAAATTGAAAGGGAAATAAGCACACATGGTGTTTTGATCCCAAGAACTCCTCATTAATATCAAACAACAAAATCATAAGTTCTAGTTAAATTTCTTTGTCATCGAACCAAATTTTATAAATTTATACTTTTATAAAAATATATATAAATATATCATCCTAATAATTTTGATGTCCCCAATTATTTTAGGCCCTGGACGGTCGCCCTACCAGCACTAGGCCTAGGCCGGGCCTGGTTTCCAGAACTTGATAGTTAGTGCGTGACCGACTTAATGTTTCATGTTCCATGAGGACATCCAATTTCCAAAAGGCTTTACGAATCCTCGAAGAAACTGGGACAACAGCCTTTTGTTTTCTTCCCAACTTCTCTCTGTCAGGAGTAATTTCAATGCAACGACTTGTAGTTATAGTGTGTAAAATCATTTTACTCAAAAGTCCTTAGTTTGATCATGGTGAATGTGATATCATAACGCACTGTTGTGTATGTACATGATTGCTTGAGCAACTTTTAATGGAAACATAATAACACGCCATAACCAAAGAGGATTCTCGACCACAGCAGAAACAATGTCTCCCCAGAATATGATCTTAAGTATAAACGCAAGACCTTTTTGAGGAGGAAGTTGCCCATAACTATCTCTAGATTCTCTGCTCCTTGAAATCCTAAAATCCACCGCGTCGAGTCAAGTCGTTTCAGAGACGTCCCAATGCAAAATGAGGCCCAAGACAAAAATGAAATATGGCCTTCCAAATTTAGTATTTTAAGATGATTTCTTTCGTAACAATATGAATTTGAGATGCATTAGATTAGATTTATGAGAATAAGAGATTGTTTTCGTTCTTTTTAATCAAGACTACGTTTTTTTTTATTCTAAAAAATTTATTATTATCAATGGGAGTGAAAAGGTTCGAAACTATTACCATAATTTAGGAGGGAGAGTTTCGAACTCAAAACACTGGTGGATATACTCAACACCTATCCATTATGATTCCTACGATGAATAATGCAGAGTATGAAGAAAGTCAAGGCCTAATTTAAAGTGAGGACAAGGCACATGCCTTGTTCGTCTTGCCTATGGCCGTCTCTGAGTCGTTTGAGTTCCAAACCGGGTTGGGCCCAACTAAAAGTCTAAAAGTTTTGAAGTCCAAAATTATTATTTTCAAAACAACGAGGCCCAAGCGACGAGGAAATACACATATGTGACATGTCAGGGGAGAACTTTTCTATTAAAACTTCAAAGTTCAAAACAAACAAAAGAAAAAGAAAGGTGTTCATGTGAAGAACCCTTTTCCCCCTAATTATCTTCTATTTTATATATCAAAAGAAGAAATTAAATCGTACGGCAACCAATAAAGAACATGATTAGTAAGGTTTGATATTAATCTCCTTTGTTTTACTTTAAAGTCAAAGTGTTGATGTTAACATGCAAACCTAAGTGTTGGCAAACATAAGTGTTGATGTTAACATGCAAACATATAACAACCACAAGAGCTTTTATAATATATTTTGATCAATGTCACGTATTACTGATTGACACTGCAAAGAACAAGATACTATGATTTTATTTTTTCAAATAATTAATTTTTCTCCTTTTAATACAAGCGAGAATTGTAAATATACTAATTTCTCTCCAATTGACTGATTTTGATTCACCTTGGCCTCTTCGTACACAATGGTCTATTTGTTGAACCACATTTGGAATATGACTTTCTACGCCTCTCACATATATCGCGAAGTAAATGTTGTTAATGACACTTTGTTAACATGGCTTGCCTTCTCCAACTTTGGTATGGCATGATTCCCATCTGTTAGTGGCTCATGCTACTTTGTTTTCGGACTATGTTTTCTTTACTAACTTCTGCTTCTCAAATTGATGTGCATCTCAGCATACAAGTTTACCTTACTTTTTTTTTTTTTCTCGATCTGTTTTGCAAGTTTAGATCTTTGGGTTTTGCTTTAGACGGGTTACGGTTTGTGTTCTCCCCCTCCCCTCCCTTACCCCCACCCCCACAAAAAAAAAAAAAAAAACATTTTTTTCTTTGTATCTTTATTGTCTTCGTTTCTAGAATAATAAGGTTTATATCCCTTCTTCTGTTTCATGTATTTTATTTATTTTTCCTTGTATTATGAGTAGTTTGATTTATGCCCCTTGACTAGATACAACTTTTTCTTTAAAAAATAAAATAAAATTCTTCTCATATCATCGAAGTTTAAGAAAAATTTAGCTAACTGATCTGATCCACATCTGCAACTCATCTTTGTCTATATCTTGAGAGTATTTGGTATGCATATAATATAATCAACATATAGCAAAAATTCAGAATTTTTTTGTTGGAATCACATGTAATGGGTCCCACAACAACTAATTTTGGGGCTCCTTCAAGTGAGGACAAAGACAAGGAAATATCTGAATGAGAAACCATATATAAATATGGAGTGTCTTCCCTGATTTTGATATATTATCCAGCAAGCAAAGTGGAAAGAGAAAAGAAGCCACTTTCTGTGTTTGGTGGATATACTTGGCTCACATCGGTTTACACTTTATGGTCTTTATCTTTACCAATTTGGATTCCTTGTGTGTTGGAAAGGGATATATGC